ACTATAGATCTCACCTGGTATTCTCAGTGAGACATCTACCTATTTACATCCAATGTAAGTAAATAACTGATAATAAGTGAAAATAGTGATGGTATAAGACCAACAAACTGCGCTAAAATGTGTAAATAATTGATGCTTTACCTCTACTTCTATATCACATCTGTGTATAAACCACTACGCTGCCGCTTTAAAATATAATAAACATAAGCAAAAAAAAACACTTCAAAAAGTATTCCGGTGGCGCATAAATCAATTGTCAGTGCCAAAAAAAGTATTATAAAAAATATATATAAATAATATAAATAATATGTTCCACATAAAAAATAATTAATCAAATAATTAATAATAAATTAAATAATTAATAATTGATAATATTCCAAATAGAAAGTCCAAATAAATCAGTCCACAAAACAATCACCCCATGAAAAAAACTTGTGCAAAAATAAATACATATATAAATGTGTAGTGCTCCCCTCTCTCACCAAAAAGTGTTGCTTCCCACTCTCGTAGTTGGCACACTAGGCTTTAATTGACGATTTTCCAAGGAATAAATCAGATCACTTGTGATATTTTATTCTCCTTAATCTTGAAACATTGGAATCCCAGGACAAGCGCTCCTGAACTCCAGCACACAAATTCCTCCTCCCAATGCTCCACACTCAATTGAAAACATGGAAGTATAACAAGTTTAAATAGATCCTCAAAGGAAATTGAAGTGTGGAGCCAATATGAATCACATCATGAGGGTAGACTCTCAAAGTGATGCTGACGCTTTTTGAAGGGGGACCCTTCTTCATACTGCATGTGATGAAGGAACACTAACGTGATCTTTATCAGATAAGAAAGAAACAGTTTATACAATGATTGTATTTGTCAGAATGTAGTGTCATCACCAGACTGTTGTGTTGGCCAACCAGAGTCTCTGCTTGAGAGATAGGCTGTTGGCATGTATGGGCAGCTTTGATCATTTCATTACCTTTAAAAAGACTAAGAACTTTCACAAGATACACAAGGTCTATTTAGATATCGGAAACAATGCATTTTGTCTTTAATAGGAAAATATTAATATTTATCCCTAACCTATCTAAGAGTTTAAATCGTAACACGGTTCAGGACAAAAGAAAAACTAAAATCAAATGTTGAGATTATTTTTATTATGGGTCACATTTTGTACTTCTTTTTTGTGTTTTAATCAATAAATATAAGCAGCCTGACAGTAAATGCAAAATGCATCCTGATATCTTAAATGCAGAAGCTCTTATCTTCAAGTAAGGATTAGTTTATTAATCTTCAAATTCATTTATTTTCATTAAATCCACAACTACGAAGAAGCAATTTCCTCAGTATAATAAAGATTAAAATTAGGTCATTGCTAAATGTTAATAGACTTTAATTGTCTATAAAGGCTTATCAGATTTAACACTTTTGTAGTCTTTGAATGCACACTTTCTTCATTTCTCTTTAAGACTGATCACATTTGTATCCTGTGAAATATGGAGGAGTAACACCATCACCTACAAATAAAATGCAGAGAGTTTATATACTGTACAGCTCATGAAAACCCCAAATCCACAATCTCAGAAAATTTGAATATTACATGCAATCAATAAAACAAGGATTGTACATAGAACAATATCGGCCCTCTGAAAAGTATAAGCATGCATATGTACTCAGTACTTGGTTTGGGCCCCTTTTGCAGCAATTACTGCCTCAATGAGGCGTGGCATGGAAGCTATCAGCCTGTGGCACTGCTGAGGTGTTATGGAAGACCAGGATGCTTCAATAGCGGCCTTCAGCTCTTCTGCATTGTTCGGTCTCATGTCTCTCATCTTTCTCTTGGCAATGCCCCATAGATTTTCTATGGGGTTCAGGTCAGGCGAGTTTACTGGCCAATCAAGTACAGTTATCCCACGCTCATTGAACCAGGTTTTGGTGCTTTTGGCAGTGTGGGCAGGTGCCAAGTCCTGCTGGAAAATGAAGTCAGCATCTCCATAAAGCTCGTCTGCGGAAGGAAGCATGAAGTGCTCCAAAATCTCCTGGTAGATGGCTACGTTAACCCTGGACTTAATGAAGCACAGTGGACCAACACCAGCAGATGACATGGCTCCCCAAATCAACACAGACTGTGGAAACTTCACACTGGACTTCAAGCATCTTGCAGTGTGTGCCTCTCCATTCTTCCTCCATATTCTTGGTCCTTGGTTTCCAAATGAGATGCAAAAGTTGCTCTCATCAGAAAAGAGGACTTTGGACCACTGAGCAACAGACAAGGTCTGATTTCTTTAGCCCAGGTAAGACGCTTCTGACGTTGTTTGTTGTTCAGGAGTGCCTTGACAAGAGGTATATGACATTTGAAGCACATGTCCAGGATCCGTCTGTGTGCGGTGGCTCTTGATGCACTGACTCCAGCCTCAGTCCACTCCTTGTGAAAGTCCCCAACACTTTTGAATGGCCTTTTCCTGACAATCCTCTCCAGGCTGCGGTCATCCCTGCTGCTTGTGCACCTTTTTCTTTCACACTTTTCTCTTCCACATAACTTTCTATTAATGTGCTTTGATACAGTACTTTGGGAACATCCAACTTCTTTTGTAATTACCTTTTGAGGCTTTCCCTCCTTATGGAGGGTGTCAATGATGGTTTTCTGCACAACAGTCTTTCCCATGATTGTGATTCCTATTGAACCAGACTGAGAGACCATTTAAAGGCTCAGGAACCCTTTTACAGGTGTTATGGCTTAGTTAGCTGATTAGGGTGGGACACTTTTAACCTAGAATATTACACCTTTTCACAATATTGTAATTTTCTCAGATTGTGGATTTGGGGTTTTCATGAGCTGTAAGCCATAATCATCACAATTACGACAAATCACAGCTTGAAATATCTTGCTTTGAATGTAATGAGTCTATCTCATATATTAGTTTCACCTTTTAAGTTGCATTACTGAAATAAATGAACTTTTGCACGATATTCTAATTTTTCGAGTTTCACCTGTGTATATCTATATCTATATCTATATATCTATATATCTATACATATATATATATATATATATATATATATATGTTATACAGTGTATACTTTATTTATAAATCTCTCTCTCTCTCTCTGTATATATATATATATATATATATATATATATACATGTCTATTTGTACCATAAGGGCACTTTAAAGCACAGAATGCATTGATCTGTTTTATTATTCATAATTTTGGACCCTGTACTGGAGAAATGTGACTGTCCAGTTATTGTAGCTTTGCTAATTTAGGCCTTATTGGGGCGTACTGAAGCATATACCTGTGGAGGCCTGTGTTCACCCACACAGGAATGCACAGGCATGCCATTCGTTTCCATGCAGACAGTTCCACTGATGTCAACTTGGACGCAGCAGCTACATGGACACAGATGCTGCTGCCAATATGATATGTGCGTGGGTGCAGGTGCATGTCCTCACTGTGTTAGCTCAGGGACACATATCCGCATACACTGCACCCACGCTGGTGTCAAACTAGGAGCAGCAGCTGTGTTCATGCAGCTTCTGTGCCCCAAATGACAAAGAATGGGCATGGACCTCCTCCATGGGCATACACTTTAGTTCATCGTTCATAGTTTAGTTTGTGTGAACACAGCCTTTAAAGTGGTTCTAAAAGTGCAAAGTTTTGTGCCTTAATGCATTCTATGAGCCGGTATTATCCAGTAGTGTTCATGCCCTAACAAGAGTCATGCTGCTAGGAAGTGAGAGCAGAGTGACAAAGAAATAACCAAATCAGTCTGCTGCTCTTCCTTTCACTGTCCAGTCACACATTGAGGGAGAAACAAGATCTATAAGAATGTTTCCTAAATGAAGATGTGAAAGATCAGGGCTTCTACCCTGTCAGGCAGGGCTGTGCTGTAAGGCAGAGCTGTGCAAATCTCAAAACTGGATGGGCAGAGATGCAAAGCCTTTTTCAGGTAAACCAGCTCCCTGTTGTGCATTTCTTCTGTAAATGTAGCTGTTTACCAGGAGTTCAGCTTTAATGTGAGAAAGAGTTTGGGAATCAAGTAGTAAAATGGCTTACATACCCATTGTAAATGTTCTAAGAAAATATTGTACTTTGAGTATAAAAATTATGTTAAAGGTCTTATACAGAATTATTTTAGACGTGATATTGCTTTTCAAGTATGAAAATTTAGCATTCTGGCTTTTTTTTGTTTACTATAGCTGCTACTTATTTCACCATACATACTGAAGAACAACATTTCCTTACATTTATTGGTGTCTTTGAGCGAAATGAGGCTTTTCTATTTTTCTCAAAGGGATCATAAACTTCATTTACCTTCAATAAAACATGTTTCATACAGGTAATGTTTGGAAATGACAAATTTTACAATAATAAGCTGACTAAACACAAGCTTTCATGTTTGGCCATCCATGTCATTCTTTGTAAAATTTGCAATGCATTGCAAATCCTGTTACTCAGCTAATGATATCTTTAACAGATTGAATTTATTATTGTTGAATCAAATCTGAATATAAAGAATACATGGTTCAGCTTTAAAAAATATGTAAACCCAATAATTCTGATATGTTCCTGCTGTACCATGTATTCTGTTATCTTTATATTACTTATTTTGTGTGAAATTCCTGGTGATCCTAACAGTCCCTTTGCTCTCCCTTTAACCACCTCCCCACCCGCCATATAGTCCAATGATGGGCGCAAGGTGGTTCTCTCGTTCCGGGAACATGCAGCGCGGCGATCGGCGGTGCGCTGTGTCCTTTGGACACAGCGGATCACCGATCCACGGAAAGAGCCGAAGATGTTGGCTTGGTCATCTGATCAGCTGTGTCCAATCACAGCTGATCTCATGTAAACAGGGAAATGCCGGTTATCGGCATTTCTCTCCTCTCGAGCTGTCACGCTGACAGAGGAGAGGAGAGCTGGTAATTCCGCGGAGGAGACATGTACACTGATCATCAGGGCACTGATGATCAGTGTGCCCTGATGATCAGTGTGGCCCCAGAAGTGCCACCTATCAGTGTCCATCAGTGCCAGCTCTCAGTGCTGAACAGTGCCACGTGCCAGTGCCCATCAGTGCCACATCAATGCCACATATCAGTGCCTACCAGTGCACATCAATGCCACATATCAGTGCCCATTTGAGCTGCCTTTCAGTGTCACCCATCAGTGCCAGTTAGTGCCACCTATAAATGCCAATCAGTGCCACCTATCAGTGCTGCCAATCAGTGCCACCTATCAGTGCCAGTCAGTGCCGCATATCAGTGCCCGTCAGTGCCGCCTATCAGTGCCAGTCAGTGCCACCTAACAGTGCCAGTCAGTGCCACCTAACAGTGCCAGTCAGTGCCGCCTATCAGTGCCGCCTATCAGTGCCATATATCAGTGCCATATATCAGTGCTGCCTTTCAGTGCCCATTAGTGATGCCTGTCAATGGCCATCAGTGCCACCTACCAGTGCCTCCTCATCAGTGCCCATCAGTGCCACCTATCAGTGTCCATCAGTGCAGCCTATCAGTGCCCATCACTGCAGCCTCATTAGCGCACATCAGTGAAGGAGAGAAAAATCACTTATTTACAAAATGTTATAACAAAAACTAAGAAAAAACTTTTTTTTTTCAAAATGTTCAGTGGTTTTTGGTTTGTTTAAGAAAAAATAAAAAACCCAGAGGTGATTAAATACCACCAAAATAAAGCTCTATCTGTCACAAAAAAATGATAAAAATTTAATATGGGTAAAGTGTTGCATGACCCGCGCAATTGTCATTCAAAGTGTAACAGCTCTGAAAGCTGGAAATTGGCCTGGGCAGGAAGGGGGTATAAGTGCCCTGTAGGCTAGTGGTTAAAAACTGACCACACAAAGCAGGAGAACACACTATGGTCAGTTCTCTAGCTGTGCTGGGAGCCTGCTCTCCTCCAATGACCAAACCATGTCCCCCCTGCATAGCATTTCACTGGGAAGATTAGTGTACTGCTGTTTCTCCTCCCTCAGCTTTTATGCAGCTGAAAGCAGATGATATGTGATCACTTCTAAAAAAGAGAAAAAGGTACTTACTTTTTTTATACCTACACACACATTTTTGCTGTTCATTTCTATAAGCTGAATGAGTAGTTTTACAAGGTAGGGATTTACAATCACTTTAAGGTTAAAAAGAAGTAGAACTTGGTTCATCAGCCAAGTCAGTAAAGCAAATTAATGTAGTTTTTGATGTATCATCAGCACCTTAAACTCTTTTTGAATTTGGATATATGATTATTGTGTAGCTTGTGACTTAATCATTAGTTTGATCATGATGTAACTGAATACAGAACAAAATTGGGACACATATCCAGATGCCACAACACATCTTCATAATAATCCCTGTAAAATACAGTAGTGCGCAAAAGTTTTAGGCAGGTGTAAAAAAATGCTGTAAATTGAGAAAGCTTTCAGAAATAGAAGTGCTAATAATTTATTTTTTATTAGTTAACCACTAGGGGACCGCCCGCAGTACATATACTGCTACAAGGCGGCCCCTGTGTGCAGCCTTTTTTTTCTATATCGCAAAAAATTAAAAAAAGCACAGGCGATCAAATACCACCAAAAGAAAGTCCAATTTGTGGGGAAAAAAAGGATGTAAATTTAATTTTGGTGCAGCGATGCATGACCGCGCAATTGTCAGTTAAAATAATGCAGCGCTGTAACACAAACCGCTTATGTAACCACTTCCTGAATGCCCTATAACAGAAATACTGCTTCAGGGCGGCACAGGTGCGCAAAATCACATATATATATACATGATTCGTGCTCCGGTGGTTTTCACGCCCCTCCCAGATGGCATCAGATTGCCCGTCAGTACACCAGTGATCACATTTAACCCCTTGATTGCCAGGAACACGATCATACACAATAAACCTTCATTGCTAGTATAGTGTCTGAACGGATCAATATCTTTGGTCAGATCAGCACTATACCAGCATTCACATTAGTATAGCGCCCCCAAAAACACAGCGTTAGCGGGATCAGCCCCGACACCTGCCAGCACCTGCGTTTAGCCCCTACGCTTACCCCCCCCCCCTTCTCCCCCAGCAAGTGCAGTGTCTACAAATCAGCTCCAATGTGAATCCTGAAAATTATACATAATTATACATATTGGCATAGTGAATACATGCCAAATAAAATGTGCAAGAAACTTCACAAGGTAAATTTATAAACTTCAAGATCATTCAGATTAACCGCTTCCCCACCGCCCTATATCAGATATACTGCTATAGGGTTGCAGGGGTTGCGAAAAATCACGTATATATACATGATTTTGCATTTTTGGGTAGGGGGACGCGGTGCCCAGTGATTACCGAGCATCTCCTATAGGGAGGAAGACTGATTTGTTTGCCAACAGTCTTCCTCCCTGGCGGTTCGGGAACACTGCTCTAGATGACTGTGCACAGCACAGCCATCCAGAACAGTGTGCTTACAGTGAAGCACACACACCCCCGCCCCCTAGTAAAATACTCCCTACACATAGTTAACCCTTTGATCACCCCTCATATTAACCCCTTCCTGCCGAGTGCCATTAGTACAGTGTCAGTGCTTTTTTTCTAGCACTGATCACTGTATTGGTGTCACTGGGGTTGTCAGTGATCCCAAGTCAGTTACCCCCCCAGTTTCAGAATGTCCACCGCAGTCCCGCTAAAAGTCGCTGATCGCCGCCATTAATAGTAGAAAAAAAAATCCCAGTATCTATACAGCCATTTGTAAATGCTATAACTTCCATGTAAACCAATTAATGTACATGTATTGGGATTTTTTTTAGCAAAGTCATGTCGCAGAATACATTTTAAAATTCATGACAAAATTTAAATTTTTAAAAATTTTTACTGGACATGTTTAATAGCAAAAAGTCCAAAATATTGTTTGTCTTCTCAAAAAAATAAAAAACGCAGAGGAGATCAAATACCACCAAAGCTCAATTTGTGGGAAAAAAAAGGATGTTATTTTTAATTTGGGTACAGCATTGCATGACCACGCAATTGTCAGTTAAAGTAACGCAGCGCCATAACGCAAAAAAAGGCCTGGTCGGGGGAAGGGGGGTAAATCCTCAGGAGGGTAAGTGGTTAATAAGGGTAGGCTAGAAGTAATTGAACTACAATCTGGAAATTGATATATGAAATACATTTTTGTCATTGACATGCTTTATTAAAAGCTTCTGTTGTTTCTGAGCTTGTTAATTGCTGGAGATGTGCTTATATTGAAGAAGGTAAAGCATATGTCATTTTACGTATTTTGGAGTCAGATTAGTGCTCATTTTGACCTACCTGTAATCTCAAGGTTACAACAACTCTTGGTGAGCGCTATTATAATTGGTGTAGGTCACACAGAATATGGAAGTTTGGCATTCATATCTTTCATCATTGCACGTAAAGAACTTGTCAGTTCTGTACACTGTCATGGGTCATGGCAAAAACTTAGGTGCACACTTGAGTGTTTTTACAGTGTGTTTTCCAGTTTGCAGAATTGCACTACAGTCCATTTAACATGATTTCCTATAGATCTACTTCAAATCTGTGTACTTTGAGCCAGTGCATTTTTTTAAAGGGTCAGGGACTTTTTTCCCACAACAGATTGCATTTTGTGCGCAATAGACTTCAATGTAGCCACACCAAAAATGCAAGTGTTGCATTTTTTATGCATTTGTGATGCGTTTTGCATTTTTTTTTTTATTGCTAATAGAAAAGTATGACAGTTCTGTTCATTTAGTGCGACTATGATGTGGCTTTGATGCAACTTTACACTCTCTGGCACTCAAGTAGCATAAAAGTAGCATTGAAGTTGCATCAAAGTAGGGCAGGAATCTTTATGTGTTCAAAGTGGTATTTTCTTGGCTAATACGAAAGTATGACAATTCTGTTCATGTAGTGCAACTTTGATGCAACTTTACACTCTCTGTCACTTAAGTAGCATCAAAGAAGCATCAAAGTCATATTAAAGTAGTGCAGGAACCTTTACGTGTCCAAAGTCACTTGTTAGGGTTTGGTTTAAATGTTAGGGTTAGGGTTAAGGGCTATGATTAAGGTTAAATGTTAGGGTTAAGGGCTAGGATTAACCACTTGCCCTAAAGACGATTTACCCCCATTCCTGACCAGGCCATTGTTTGCGATACAACGATGTATCTTTAACTGACAATTGCGCGGTCATGCAACGCTACAACCAAATTAAATTTACATCCTTTTTGTACCCACAAATAGAGGTTTCCTTCAGTGGTATTTGATCACCTGTGCGTTTTTAATTTTCTGCTCTATAAACAAAAAAAGACCGACAATTTTGAAAAAAAAAAACGATATTTTTGCCTTCTTGCTATTAAACATGTCCAGTAAAAAAATTAACAAAAATCAAATCTCGTCATAAATTTAGGGCAAAATGTATTTTGCTACATATCTTTGCTAAAACAAAATCCCAATACGTGTAAATTAATTGGTTTATGTGAAAGTTATAGCGTTTACAAATGGCGGTAGAGATACTGGATTTCTTTTTTTTTGCTAGTAATGGTGCCGATCAGCAACTTATAATGGGAGTGAGACGGGCATTCTGAGACTGAGGGGAACTGACATCCCAAGTGACACCAATACAGTGATCAGTGCTTATAAAAAGCACTGACATTGTAATAGTGACAATGGGCAGGAAGGGGTTAACATCTGAGGCGATCAAAGGGTTAACTGTGTGCTGTTTTACTGTGTGCTGTGTGTGTGCTTTCAACTGTAAGCACACTGCTTTGTATGGCTCTGCTGTGCAGGAAGTGACAGGGGAGAGATCTGTATTGTTTACATACAGGTCTCTCCCCCATCCGTGATATATGGTGATCGCCGTATGCTGGCGGGGAATCACAAGCTGAGACCCGGTGATCGACATGTAAGACCGCCAATGGTGGCACGGTTAGGGCGAATGCGCCCCCTACCCAGAAATGAAAAATCATGTATATATACATGATTTTGAGCTGCCGTGCTGCTCTGTAGCAGTATTTCTGCTATAGGGCGGTGGGGAAGCGGTTAATGTAAATGTTAGAATTAAGGGTTAGCATTAAATGTTAAGGTCAGAACGCCAACACTAACATTTAAACCCTAACCCTAGCCCTTAACTCTAAACGTAACCTTTAACAATAACATTTAACACTAACATTAAAACCCTAGCCCTTAACTCTAACACTAACATTTATCCTTTACCCTAGCCCTTAACCCTGACCCTAGCCCTTAACTGTAACGAAAACATGTGACTTTGGTCACATAAAAGTCACATCTGAATGTTTTCAATACAATAGTTTTGGCAAACTTTGTAGTGACACATGTTTGTTAAGGAGCAGGCAGCTGCTTTGTCTTTAAAAACTAATGACTCATCAGCTGTCAGTGGGATGACAGCTGAATGTAAACAAAGGAAAGCTGGCATTAACATTTTTTAAAATTATTTAAATTAATAAAACATTGTTTGGGGTTCCCCACCAATCCATATCAGACATGTTGGGGGAACATTTACCAGACCCTGCAT